GAGCCACTATATCGCATCCCCTCCTCAACTAGACAGGGGGAGAAAATACAACAAAAGGCTCATGGGTCTAGGTAAGGACAGGGCGAGATCACTAACCAACTACCGTCACAGGCAAAACAAACCCAACTCAGGAAATTAATTTATTACCAATCAAAATAGAGTAGGGTAATGAGAAATAAAACCAATTCTTAAAAGCACCTCCCCCCAACTCCTCCCTTCTTCCCAGGCTCAACTTCTCTCCTCATTTTCTCTCTCCTCCCCTCAAGCAGCACAGGGGGAAGGGGAACAGGGGTTGTGGTCAGTTCATCACACGTTGTCTCTGCCGCTCCTTCCTCCTCAGGGGGAGCACCCTTCGCACTCTCTCATGGCTCCAGTGTGGCGTCCCTCCCACAGGAGACAGTCCTCCATGAACTTCTACAAATATGAGTCCTTCCCTTGGGCTGCACTTCTTCACAAGCTGCTCCACTGTGGGTCCCTCTCATGCGGTGCAATCTTTCAGGAACAGACTACTCCAGCGTGGGTCCCCCACGGGGTCACAAATCCTGCCAGCAAACCTGCTCCAGCGTGGGCTCCTCTCTCCGTGGGTCACACAGGTCCTGCCAGAAGCCTGCTCCAGAATGGGCTCTCCATGGGGGTCACCCACCTGCTCTTGCATGGGGTCCTCCACAGGCTGCAGGTGGAGATCTGCTCCACTGGGAACCTCCATGGGCTGCAGGGGCACAGCTGCCTTACCAGGGTCTTCACCACGGGCTGCAGGGGAATCTCTGCTCCAGCACCTGGACAACCTCCTCCCCCTCCTTCTTCACTGACCTTGGTGTCTGCAGAGTTGTTTCTCTCACATATTCTCACTCCTCTTTCTCCGCTGCTGCTGTTGCTCAGGTTTTTTTTCCTTTCTTAAATACATTATCACAGAGGCACTACCACCATCACTGATGGGCTCAACTTTGTCCAACGGCGGATCCGTCCTAGAGCCGGCTGGCACTGGCTCTGTCAGACACAGGGGAAGCTTCTAGCAGCTTCTGACAGAAGCCACTCCTGTAGCCCCCTCACTACCAAAACTGTGCCATGCAAACCAAATACACCTGCAGATGTCTCTGCCACACTCAGGGCTCACCAGCAGCAGTTGCTGTTTTAGCCTCCTCCAGCCCTATAATGAAATTCCTGACCACTGCTACCACTTGGATTCCTTTCCTGGTGAGGCATGCACACTGTGCCTGTGCCCAACACCTATTCATAGGCACCAATTTACTGCCTCTTTCATCCCTCTGGGATTATTCACTACTTAACAGCTACAGCACTGGATTTCCAGTCACATCACAAATAAAGTAGCACATCCCTGGCCCTGGAAGAGAACAAGTTGCCCCCTCGCTCCTACTGTGACCTAGGATAGCACTAGCCTTTCACACACCGAAACAAACAGCACAAAAGCATCTTTCTAATACTCTATCATTTAAAGCAAGGATTATTTTTAATTACTTAGTTCCTGCTGTCTATTGTCTATTACTTTTCCTACCACAAATTACTTTTGTGGTAGGAAAAGTAATAAGCTGCTTTGACATCCATCATAAGCAAATCAAGTCTGAGTTGCTGATTGCTACCTGCAAAGGCAGTAAAGACACAGAAGATTTTAAAGGACAAAGTAAATACAATGAGTGCTGACTATCCTCCATGCAAAAGATTTTTCTGTGTGCTCTATTAAAGCACAATTACCTTCTACATGGTTGCTTGCATGTCAAAGATCCCCTAAAAACAATTGTGAAAAATCCAAAGCCAGCCTTTTAATGGCCAAACTGGGATGGAGTGAAAGTAGAAGAAACCAGTGAAAATTGTGATTATGGTCAAAGTATATTAATTTGATCCAATGACAGGACATCATTAGGATAGCTCCCATGATTTTATATATGGATACAAAACATACACATAAGCTTGCATGTAATTAAGGCAATATGTTAAGGTGAAGCACTCCTCCCCTCTCCCCCATCCATGTATTTAATGCCAGATTAAGAAGGCTGCTGGAGATTCGACTAATAAATAGAACGACCAGATAATATGGGAGGCAAGAAGGCAGATGCAGCAGAAATAATAAAAATTCCCTTGTGAAGGGAGCCACGATGTAGACTGTAAGCAACATGAGTTGGTCTCCTTGTGGAGCCAAACATCTGTGGACATACATAGGAATACAGACCTGTAGCAATTTGGGACAAACTCTTTTAGACATCTGATAGTCCAGCACCCTGCAAGTGCAATATTTGATGACTTTGCTGACTATTCTAAGTATACCAAAATGTCCTGGGCTATTCTTTAGGAACAGCAATTATTAAATGCACATGTATTTAGAAATAGTAGCAGTTTCTTAGTGCAACGCTACCATAAAAGCTTATTTTAAATGACCCCACTGAGTGTCCAGGTCTGAACATTTTCTTAGGTTAGGTGTACAAAGATTCATTTACAGTAGTCCCTCATTACACAATTTATGGTATTTAAGTGCTGTTTTTTCCTGCACTTGAAGGAAATACTAAAACCCAGACAACCTTCCTTTGTTCTACTGTAACCATTAATATATTAACATCCAAAACTTGTCAAAACAAACCAGTCACACCTATACACAGGAAACTACCTCACCTGCTATAATGGCAGATTTGATAGTTTGCTGTTGGTTGATAGGTTACTGAGGAAGGTACCATATCATCTTCTCAGAGATGAAGGGGAGAGGAAACCAGGTTTCATATTACATGACACATGGATTAATTATATGGTCTGTACATCATTGATTCTCATATAGCTTTCCATGGCTTATGCACAGACAGCTATTGTCTAGATCTACTTTAGATGTTTTATAGCTGTAATGATGCAATATGATAGAAGCATGGATGAAGACACATGGAGATTATACACTCATCCATGTAAACAACATGACAGCCAGAACGCTCACCTTGTTGAGGACATCCCGCTGACACCCAAGATAGAGATGAGGCAGGATTCTGGTTGGGCCAATGTTGGAGACAGGTAGGCATGGCTGAGAAATGCAAGTAGGGACGAGCGTGGATTTTCCTTCACAGAGACCCGGGAAAGAGCTGGAGAACTCAGAAAATCCACCTGTGAGAGGAACAGTATATATTTAATTTACACGCAGTGATCAGTGCCCATACCAATTCTCAGACAGCAGCATTTGTTGCATGAGATGGGGAGGTATTAAGGGGCAGCAGGAAAGCGTTAACAGAGGAACTGTACATGTGCCTCTTCCAGAGGTACCATGACTGCAGAACCATCCATCAGCAGGCAAGGCCTGGCTGCATATTCCCACTCTGCCTGGAACGTTTATTTCTCTTTCTCCATTCCTCAGAAGTTTTTGATGCTTCTTCACATTCTTAATGACATGTGGAAGTGAGACACTAAAAAACAGCCAGAACACCCACCACACCAAAAGCGCGCACAACTTTTCCTCTCCGCTCCAGCAAGCTCTTTTCTAAACACCTTCTCCTCCTGTATTAGGTCTATAATTAGACTTCATTAAGAAAAAGTCATGTTTACTCAATTTGGCAAAAGCATCAATATGTGGTTATTAATGTTTGCTTTTAAAATCCTAATTTCTTGTTTCTTAATATATCTTATAATTCTTAATAGATTTCATCCAACACACTTTCATCTTTCAAAACCACACCAGGCTAAGGCCATCTCAAGTGGGAGAGGCGAGGCAGAAGTGGGACTACAGGGGAAGTCTTTCTTCCCTTTACACCTAGCTGGTTCTTCACCTGCACCAGTTATTAGGCCCTATCCATATTACGCCTTCAAAACATTCTCATTACCATTTCCCACCACTGCATTAAACCACTCAGGAAAACTAGAGTGGAATGACTGATAACACATTTAAATCCACCTAAAATCCCACTGGCCATCAAAAATGCTTCTAGAGTGTTTCACCATTGGCATGGCACAGCTGCTAAGGAACACAAAGGGAATAAAAAGTGAGGTTGACACTGCTCTAGCCACAAATACATACAACGCAGCTCAGGCTCCATTTCCTTTTCTTGCTCGGCTAGTTCCCGGCTTCCCTCCCAAGGACTGTGTTATAAATCTGTGATACCAAATGTGGTCCAACTGGCCCTACCCACAGTTAGAAAACAAAACTGAAGAAACCTCCAGCAACAAACTTGACTAAACACGTTCTCACAAAAGCTAGCTAGCTTTTTCCAAGCCTAGCTAAACTCCAGGCTTAGCTTATTCTCATACTTTATAGACTAGTCTGAAGAAGAACTGGAGGCAGTTGCTTAAACCAGTATGTTATAAGCTTTTCTTGACTGTTTTCACCACTTAACAGCCAACCAGTAAGGGTGAAATGGACAAGCCACAGTGAAAATCCACAGCTATTTCCTCACATTAAAAATTCCATTTCTCTCTGTGCTTAAGTAAAGGAAGAGTAATTATAATCTGTTCAGAACAAGGCACCTTTTTATCGCCAAGGAAGTGAAGTATTAATGTGCTAAATCTGCCAAATGCTACGTTCACTATTATTACCGTTTGAAGACATGAATTAAAGTTATTCAGGAATAAGATAATGCACTGTTTTGTCAAGGCTTGCATTACCATTGCCTGAATTATGACTATTTTTTAATTTTAAATCTACAGAATTAGATTTTTCTACAGAATTTTCTGCAGGAAAAAAAAAAGGTAATAGCCATGTGTGTAACAGCCCATTTTATCTGATAAACAAAAAAGCCAGCAAGCAGTTTTCAGAACAAAGGTTTTATGAACAGTGATTCCTGTTCAATCTCCTGACTTACAACAAGAAAAGTCACTTGTCCATTTTTTTAGATAAGAGATTTTTGACAACTATGACAATGCTCATCATGAGAATATGAGGGTGAGGTTGGACTGTATGGGATGGGTCGGGGGGATGCTAATCTAAGGCACTGCCCATCACAGAGCCATACCCCTAAACTGAGGGACCTGGGCTAGGGACAGAGTAAAGGTCTGTCTCTTAACATTTTCTATTCCTATTAGCTGGATTTCCTCCTCCTTGCTTTACAAATGCCCTGTTCAGGAGCGCAGATGCTGCTTGTTCAATGTATCAATCAAATGGCAGGAGGAGTTAGCAAAACAGTTCTCTCGCATACTTCCTAAAGTTTCTTCTGTATGGCATAACATTTTCCCCTCTGTTATAGGAAGCAATCCATGAATTTATAGGCATTATATGCCTCTTAGATTAAATTTAATTAAGATATGGTGCCCAGCAGTTCCTTGAGAGGTTGGAGGAAGAAGGGGAAATCAAATATTGGTCTTTAGTTTCATCTGCTTATTCTTTATTTCTTGGGAAGCTTGTTGGCTGCTTTCTGGAGCCTCTCTCTGACACAGCTGCAAATAGAGAAGTGACTCTTCTTCCTTACAAAGAAGCAGAACAAGCACAGTAAAGATTTCACATCTGTCCTTTCTTTGCAAAAGACTACATGGGCAGAGTTCAACAACAAAAGAAACATTTTCTCAGCTACCTGTGGATTGGTCTCACTTCTGTACGGACAATGCAACAAGATATTAAGCAAGAGGCTAATATGCAAAAAAACTGAGATTTGGGGAGGTGGAACCCATGCTCTGTCATCATAAGTGTAGGAAGCAATTTATTTTCTTTTTATTCTAGGGCTCTGTCAAGGCAAGCTTGAAGTGATTCAAGATGAGCTGCTTCAACACTTCCTCTGGGACATACATCCCTTCAAAATCATGCTGCTTCTTTCAGCTTATGCTTTGCTGGTAAGATGTTGCTTCAGTATCTTTACAACATGAATTACAACCACAAAACTCTCAAATCAGGTAAGTCAGGCAATATATTACCTATCTTTACACATGCTCCCAAGTGAGCCCTCCTTTCCTTTGAATATATTTTAACCTAGTATTAGTATCAGTGGTGAATGGACTTGAAAAAGCATTGAATTGGTGACTTGTTTCAAATATTAATCTATCCTCCTTACCGTCTTCGATAACCATTTCAGAGTTAGGAGCTTTTCAACAAAAGGTATCTCTGATTTATGGCACGCACAATAGGAAAAACACATTCTAGATCAGTGTATGTCGAAAAATTGCTTCAAAAAAGCCACCAACAAAACTCACACCAAGAAAACACACTGTTGTGTGCATCCTGCTAAACAGATGATTTCTTCTAGTGCAACAAACATAGTATCATGGGTCTGGAACAACAGCATGCACCACATATGATCACTGAGCTGTCGTATCATTATGAGCCTAACTTCTGTTCTAAGGAACTGCTCTCATCACTACTTGCACTGACTTACAAAATTTCTTTTTTTTTTTTTTTATAATATATGGATAGATATATTAAAAAAATAATAGCACCTAAAGATGTATAGAAAAAAGGTATTTATTTCACGTCTCTGTTTTCTAACACAGATTATGCCCCCATGAGTCCCCAAAGCTGAAGTCTATTTACAGTCTACAATGAAGAGCCTCTTATGAGAAAAGTGCTTTAAGCACTCAGAATACCTGTATACTTCTCCTGTAAACAAAGCGGACTGCCCTCAAAAAACAAACTTAAAACATCTGGAAAATGAATTTAGTGTACAGGTGGGAATGCAGAGTAGAAAGCTGAGCCTTAAAAGACAGACAGGACTGGTTTGGTTTCAGATTGCATAATGTGAGGATGACCTTTGCATCAAGGCAAATTTCATCTTTAAAACCCCTTACCTACCTCAGTTGGAATAGGGCTACTGGCAGCACAGTGCAGTTTGTTTTAGTAAGAGAAAGTATACTTTTCTTCTGGAGCTAGTTTCTAAATAACACCTCACCGCTACTCCAGCCTCTACAAATAATAAATCACGAGAGTATATTGAAACTGTGGGGGAAAAAAAATTGACAGGTCATTGACAGAGCTACTGGTTTAATAAAGTTTCACTGAAATCTTTGATAAATGTAATTGGGCTATGGAAATAGATGACTGACAACTAACTCCAAAATATTCTCTCCTAAATAGCTTAGGAACCATACAGGTTTTCTGTACTCTTGATGGTGAAGCAGAGCCAAAACAGCTCTCTTGACATTCAACAGGATGTAACTACTTCTTGTCTATTTGAATGTTATGGACAGAGAAAGGAGGAAATGGAGTAACATTTATGTATTATACATACATCAATAAAATTTTTCATGTATTTTAAAAGATCCACCCCCCCCCCCCCTCGAGGCTTTTGAAGATTTTCACGCTACTTTTTCTGATATAGATGAATTAAATGGAATACTTCCATCACCACTCATGCAATAGTTCAGTTACATCTGAAAACCTTGATGGTCAAGCAAGATAAACAGCACAATGCATCTCCTTCTTCAGTTTTAAATAGGCAGCTGCTTCTGTCATGACTGCATATATGTAAGTCATTGTATCCTTTGGCTGGTAGCAAGTAGCTAACAGTACTCTTAAGTCTGTTTTACTTGCATAATAGGCCCTACCAAGTCTGAAGGAAAAAAAACAAAACCAAAGCTTTGGGGATGATGACTTCCGTCACTATGGGAACAAATTAAAGCAATATGAGATTAAAGTAATTTCAGACTATAATCTAATATATTTTCCAATATGAAAGCAAAAGATATCAAAGTAGCAGTGGTAACCTGTGATGTTCAGCTGGTTGTCCTTTATGTTTCTGAGACAAAAATCCATTAATTAAATTCTGCTCTAATTTTAGATGATCCATCAGTAGATTGCGAAGTTCTCTAACTGCACCAAGGTAACTCAGCTCTTGCTTAGGTGGCTTGTTAAAATGACCAGACTAGTGAAATTATTTCAGTTTTAACCTATGACAAGCGTCCCCTGGCCACAGCACGTTTAACGAGCAGCAGTACCATACCATGTTCCAGTGATGACTTGTTCTGTTCTGTTCCCTTCTTGTGGCTACGACTCACACAAGAGTTTCTACAAAACCATGCTAAGGCGCCAAAAGCTGTCAGTGGTTTTGCAGCCTAAGCCCTTCTGTGTGTGGCAGACAACCCAACACATCCTAGGTCTAGAAAGACTGTGTTTCTGGCTTACAAGACTCCACAGCTATTAGCAGAAATTTGGCAAGATGCGGTAGCCTACTTAATTACCCTGTTGCTATGGTTCTG